AAGTAGCAGCAATGAGAACAGACTTCTCTTTCTTAATGGTGGACTCGAAGCTGACCAACATGTTCATTAACTCATCCAAGGGAGGATCTAGTTTGTTCATGTTGAAGTTCACTATGAACGATTCATAGGAACTAGGAAGAGACAACAGGATCAGATCCAACGAGAGCTCGGCCGGGAGGGTGACATCAAGATTCACTAGCTTTTCAAGGAGAGTGATCATTTTGAGACAGTGCTCGTGGACCGAAGTCCCTTCGCGCAGTCTCGCCGTGATCAACTCCTTTGTAGCAGCGTACCTCGATGCCCTAATGTTCTCACTATACATGCTATCAAGATGAGCCTTTATATCGAAAGCATGCATGTGAGACTCATATTTCCTCGCAAGCGCGGGCTCCATGGCGGCTATCATATAGCACCTAGCATGAGTGTCATCTTTCTTCCAAACTTCATAAGTTTCCTTTTCAGCATCAGTCACTGTGGCAGGTATAGTGGCGGGAAGCCTCTCGTTCAAAACATAGAGACGCCCCTCAACAGTTAGCACAAGCTTAAGACTACGCAACCAATCTAGGTAATTAGGGCCATTGAGTTTATTGTCGAGGATTGACATTATGGGATTCTTAGACATGATTATCTGAGACATTATAGAGAAGAGGATTATTAGAGATTCGCGTTAAATGATTGTTACAATTAAATGTTTGGACTTGTGTTATTTAATTGTTCTCCCACTAATTTTATCGAATTCCACTTCCCTCTAGTAGACAAACGAGAAAACTGATTTTTCTTAATGGGCTTTAGGTCCAATAGACAAATATAACCTGTAGTTAATCTAGCCCGATTATATTTGCCCAAAGGTAGATCACAATCAATCATATCCACAATATGACCCTAAATTAATTTTCCTCACACTTGATAATGACCTAAGTTAATCTCGCGAATATCAAAATCGTCGTGTGTCAAGTCTAACCTACCAATCAAAGATGCTCATAGAACTCGATTATGCCAAACTAATGCAGTCCCTAGTTAATCTAGCCGACCACGTTAATTCAACATAACCCTTTTCTATGGCTACCTTCATCACTATGTCAATTGAATTACAGCTTACTCTACCATAGCACTCCCCGCTAACACGGCTTACTGCACTATAGTAAAGGGCTACACATAATCCAACCGTTGGCAGAAGGAAAGAAATAACTCAACAGATTGGGTTTTTCTTTATAGCTTGAAATGATTCTTAATTAAAAGAATGAGGGATTTTAATTAAAGTGTTTTATCTCATCAGAAGGTTTTGGATTGGTCTATGTGATTCCTACATCTATGTTCTCTAAAGGTATATGGAAACGCATATTGTCCTAAGAGGAACATACGACCTAACTACATAATTAATTACATTAATTAATTATCGGATTTTCAAAATAATTTTAGAACCTCAACTAACATAAATCAATCAAATAATGTTGAGGTACTATTAATTAAGTTGAAGTATAATCAATATTATACGTGTGTTCTATTAATTGAAATCAATTTAACAATTTAAATTAATTAATTAATCTAACACTTATTTACTAAAATAGATGATTGTCGATCCAATTATCTAATTGGGATTAATTGAAAATAATTTTCCAAAAATTAAAATCAATTTGTTTTAAGTTTAATTTTAGAAATCTGAAATATTTTTTTTTTTTTTTTTTTTTTTTTTTTTTTATTTTCAGTGAACCGGTTCGGCCGACCGGTCTGACCGGTTCGGACCGAAACGGTCCGGTTCTGCCCGGTCCAATTGACCCAAATCAGTGGGCCGGGTCAGTCGGACCGAGAACCGGTCTGACCGACCCGAATCCACTTGGATTCGGTCGATTGGATCGTGCACAACCATCGAACCGGCCGGTTCGACCGGTTCGATCCGAACAATTAAAAAACCGACATTTTAAAATAATTTCAGATCCGATTTTCCAATTTTAAACAATTTTAAAGCTGGAAAAATTCTAAACAATATTTCAAAAATATTTTAAACTTACGAAAACTCCCAATTACATAATACGACAATCGCTACTTTAATAAATCGAACATGCATATTAAATCGAACGCAATTAATTGCACAACGAGCTCTGATACCACTGTTGGGTTTCGGGCACGCATACGCAGCGGAAAACAAAAATTTTATGCGAATTAAACGACTTTAAATCACACAAGTACATGCCCGACAAATTGAAAACAATTAATTGCGTACCTTTGCGCTTCCAGCGAAAATAAAACAACATACATGCTAATAAACTTAACCGTACTTAAATCAATTAACATGCTCGCAATTTAAACCAAATAACATGCTTGCAACGATTTAATCGATTACACATAATCACATAAAATCATACAACTACAAGCATGGAATCATAGTTTAAACTAAACCCTAAACGAAACTAGGGTTTCGTATATTTACCTCTTGACGCGTGAAGTAGGAGCGATTAGCACTTCGTGATTACTACGGAAACCAATCCGTAGAATCGGGGCAGCAGCGGTGCAACGGCAGCAGCGGCGCGTGAGGTCACGGCGGCGCGTGTAACGTACGCGCGGCTTCGGGACGGCGCGTGGGGCAGCGTGCGGCTTCGGCTCGTGCGTTGCTCCTCGATTCTTCGATCTACAGTCTTCCTCCTCTCGGATTTCACCTCGTATACTTCGATCTACTAAATCGTGGCACTAGACACGAAGTAGTTAGAATAAAACGGAAGAAAAAAAAAGGAGAAAGAATACCGAACAAGGAACGGCCGACGAACGGCCGGTTCCGGCGACGGAGCGGCGACGGCGGTGCAGTGGTGGCCGCGCGGGAGAGAGGGCGAGAGAGAGAGATGGACGGCCGCTTTTGGGTTAGGGTTTCCTATGTTTGTGTAAGGGCTATTAGTCATGTATTTATAGTCCCTTGCATATTAGGGGTGGGCATTCGGGTCGGGTTATTCGGGTATAACCCGACCCGGTCGGGTATTACCCGACCGGATCGGGTAATTTTTTACGTAACCGGGTTTTTCCCGGGTTCGGGTACCCGGTGCTCCCAAACCGGGTGGGGTCCGGGTATTTGAAATCCTCCCCGGGTACCCGCTCGGGTACCCGGGGGAATATTTTTTTTTTTTTTTTTTTTTTTTATATATATAAAGATATATATATATATATATATATATATATATATATATATATATATATATATATATATATATGTATATCAGTGACAGTATATGTATATGTATATGTCTATATATATATATATATATATATATATATATATATATATATATATATATATATATATGTATATATATATATATATATATGTCTGTTATATATTATATATATATGTATATCTTAAGTAAATTTAGTTATTGTTTATTTAAAAAAAAAAAAAAAAAAAAAAAAAAAAGAGGAAAATAGCAAAACCCGAACCCGACCCGAACCCGACCCGAAATAACCGGGTACCCGGTTGCCGGGTACCCGGTTATCTCGGGTCGGGTTCGGGTAATTTTTTTTTTGCAAAAAACTCGAATAACCCGACCCGAATAACCCGAATAACCCGACCCGACCCGAATGCCCACCCCTATTGCATATAACCCTAGCGGGCTTAAGTTGGACTGGGCCCAACAGCTTAAGCTCGTTAGTTCCTCTACTTGCTCGTATCTCTCAATTCAATGACCGAAAAATTGCAACGATTACATTTTCGGAATCATTATAACTTCCTCGTCATTACGAGTGCCATCTCTTGTTTTCCAACTTTCCAAAAGTGGAAACCCTAGTTCAGTGGACTTTCTAAATTTGGAAACTTCTCGATTTAGAAAGTTCACTAACATGTTCGCCTATTCTTTTCCTTTTCTTATCCTCATTCGTAATTCCAAATTACGAATGTTGGATTCAATCATATTGACTTCCAATCATGCAAAGATAAACTATTTTATCTCTGACCGTTTATTCAAAGATCTCATGTGCACGAGCAGTGTGACCCTCGATGGTTCAGGTGTAAGCAAGCCGTGGGCCCACAACCCATTGTGGTCAAAACTCGTCCCCTTCGAGTTACGATTAAGATGAAGCTCGTTTCACCTTAATCACCCAACGAATCAAGATTGGCGTCTAGCAACTACGCGTCATGATTCCCTAGATACAAATGAAGTGCCTGCAAGAACCTTCAGATATAGTTAACGTACAGTACGGTCCCTTCGATTCATATGTCCCGATCGAAATAGAGGCATTGGTTCATCGAGACCTCTTTATATGTTCGATGATGGTGCGATCGTTCTAAGTGTTGTAATCCTTACGTGCATGACTTAGAGAATCGAATTCTCTAATCATCACTTAGTCAGCTCTGGCCAGAGACTTAGAATGATTACAAACTTTCAGAACACACAGGACATCCAAGACTATTCTAGCGATCGAATCCCCGACTACAATGCACAGACCTCCCACTAGATTTCGGACTGCACGAACACTGGCCCTTGGGATGGTCCTCGGTGGAACTCAGGGACAGGTCACGATACAGCTGGTCCTCTAGTGAAGTCACGGTGATGTCTAGGTCATAAGGACTAATGGTGTACAACTATACCATAGATATCTCTACTCAATTATTGGGAACCACTTAGAGATTTCTAGGGTGAGGGAGTTCAGTGAACTCGTCAACTTACGAGCACCCACTTATGCATGCCGATATCACAATACCGTTTACTGATGAGATGCAGTACACATACATTAAGTGCTAGTCTTAATGGGAAAGGCCGATATCCTCATTAGTGGCGTAACCCTTCGACTAGGAACACGTTTAACAGTTATAATACTTGAGTAAATATCTCACGATCCTAACGATCAATTACTAGTACTTGTAATAACTGTAAGGACTATATCTATGCTTGTGACAAAGGGACAAAGATATAGAATGCCAATGTATTTTATCATTAATACGAATAAAGGTTCGTTTATTACAATAATAAATACGAAAGACCACAGCCACAAGTTGGCTTGTTGGTCACCTACTCTAATAGGCATGATACGTCCTTCAACGTTCAAGATGGCTAGCATAATGGCGAGTGGTGAAGAAGTCTCTCTTGCAGTTCCTGTCTTGGCAAGCATCTTCAATGGCATAAATAGGATTTCGAGATCCTTGAGACTCCATCAAGAGAATTCTCCGTTCCCTATTCACTTCGTCTATAGTTGGTTGGCGCTTTATTTCAAGACCCATTGTCAAGTTCTGCAAGGCGTAGCCGTCGATGGCCCAAAGATGGTATCTTATTCTGGAGAAGGAAGCGCTAGATACTACACTCCCGCGGATGCACGCAAACGGATTCACAAAGGAGATCTTATGTCTTGGACTTGCACCACGATTCCTAGGAGCGAGTCTTCTTTATATGTTGATGATGGAACAACTAAAGGGTCCGAGAGAAATTATTTCATCGCCATTCGCTCGAGCTATCTCTCCTTGCGGCGTGGTAATCGTTTCGTTATTGAGCCATATAGTCCTCATCGGTTTAGCCGTCAATTTGGGTTTTACCAAGATGTTCCGGGAGTACTTGATGAAGACGTTCGCGAGGCTTCTTTAATAGATGGACTCCGTTATTGGCGTCTATGTGTTTTGCTCGAGTCCATGTCTAAAGTGATATTTTCCGTCGTTCCTCAAAATCCAAGAAAGTTTCACACGGACGGCTATAAAAGATGGTGGACTGAAGCTTACGGAACTTATCTTGAAAATAAAGTTGCGAGTTTGGTGAACTTGGAGTTAAGTAAGATTCCACTTGAAGACAAAGAAGATGAGGCAAGAAATAGTCTCGGCAATCTTTCTCGCGGAAATGTGCTCCAAACCAAAAACCCTCCTAGAGATATAAAGAAGAGGAACGTTTTGCCTCCATCGGATGAGAGTGACGATAGCCACATAGAACGTCATTGGAAAAGGCCGAAGAGGGACCCGCAATCTTCAAAACCACAAGATCTTCATATTGATAACAGTGTGGACAGTCATTCTCGAACAAATGACACTTTTGCTGAGAAGGTTGTACTTAACACTTTCCCTTTTTTTTTTTTTTTTTTTTTTTTTGTCTTAATGATTTTTTTTTTTTTTTTTTTATTTAGTTGGAAAACGAGATAATTAACGTTGATGATCGCGAGGAATCTCAAGCTAGTCATCACTCAACTGCCAAGGCTTGCTCAATGGGTGCAACTTTGTCGCCGACTGCTTTGATGCCTGCCAGAGCATCCAAGATGAAAGAGACTGCGAAAGGGTCGTACAATGGTGCTTGTTCAGTTTTTGTGGGTGAAAATTTTCTGAAAAATCACAAGCGGGTTTTTCTTCGCCAATTATGGCAAGATCTTCGTGCGAGGATAGTACGGACTTCAATTGATTCCATCTCGTCTATTCAAGAAGATGTCCAATTAGTTCTTGGAACCATGAGGGATCTTGGTGATTTCGACATATCTTGCATAGAGGAATCATTGAAGTCATTATTTTCCCAGGCGACGGCTTATGATAAGGTGAGGTCGTCGAACTCTGAGAAGGCATCTAAAGAGATTCTATCACGACAATTAGATGAGGCTAAAGATCATTTGCATACTACTCAAGCTAGAGAACACAAAGAGACTCTTCAAGTTCAAGTCACCAATAGTGATTTGGAGAGTGTCAAGAAAGAGCGTGCTGCTTTGAAGGTGAGGGTGGGACAGTTGAGATCATCATTAAAGCGACAACGAG